TTTCTTCAAAATATTTTTACTTAATTTAGTGTTAACAAAAATGCGTGCAAATGATAAAAATATAATAATTACTCCTTATGCCGAATATAATCATATTGATCTTTCAACAATAAAAATTAAAGAACCTAATCATCTTTTTGATATTGATCCAAATAATAGAAAATCTAATAAACGAACTTATATTGATAAAGATGCAGTTACATCAACTCCAGAAATTACAACAATTACGACTGTAAGTTTGTTTGTTTTTTTTAGTTTAATTTCTAAAATGAAATTATTACTTTTTATTTATTATATAGACGATCGATATAATTTCTGATACAATTGAAAAACCAATACAAATAACAAAAAGTTATAATGATCCATTATTAGATAATAAAAGAAGAAGTCCAACAATTGAACAATTAATTGAACAAAAAGAAAAAGCAAAAGGAATTAAAAAACAAAAATTATTTGAATATGATGATGAATGGTAAACATTAATAAAAAAAAAATAATCTTGTTTTTGTATTTCGATGTATTTTTTTCATTAAATATAAAACTCGATTGTTGTTCAATAATATAGACAACACAAAAGTCATTGAAGAAGCAAAGTCATATATTACTTGTTAATAATGAAAATTTTTTTTTGTTTATAAATTACAATACTATCAATTTTAATTTAATGTCATATTTACATAACATTTGACATACATTTTAATCATACCTGAAAAAGAAAATTGTTGAATATTGACAACTGAATAATGATGCATGATTTCATATGTTTCGGAAAATAGAGAATAAAAAGATCATAAAAAAAACCTTAGATAAACATATTTCATTCAAACTAACTGCTTTTCTGTTTATTCTTCTTGTAATCAAATCTTCACATATCCATGATAAGTTAGTAACAACTTTGTGTATGATATTTGTTTTTTATCTATAGGAGTTCGCACAAATTCCAGATGGATAACAAATAGTAGTTAAAATATAAATGCCTTTTCAATTGTCTAACTGCAATTTTCAATTTTCTGCAGATATCCAAGAATTCGTGTAAGTTTTTGTTCATCAAGACTAATCTAAAAAGTAACGGAGGTAACATCAATGAATAGAGAATTTTGTACTATGTGCTTTTACGATCTTTTTTTAAAGTTTCTAGTGCCATGACGCATGTAAAAAAATGATTAACACCAACGCCTTGTAGTATTCGTGTATGCATTTCGAAAAAACGAATTTTCAAATGCAAGACTTGGTATAGGAAATCGTCATTTTTGCATTGTGGGATGTAGAATTTAATCCTTAAGAAAATAGTGTAGCTGTTAAGTTAAAGGGTATTTGGCTAAAATGATTATAAAAAATGAATGGAAGCGAATTTCAAAATTCTATTCGAACAAAAACTGTGTAGAGGCATTGACTTTTATTTGAGACCATCCCGAGATCTGTATCTCTTGTAATGACGAAGTTATTGTTCATCTCAATAATAAGACAACTTGTCTTTTTTAAGTTTTCTATTCTCAATTTGAATATAATCTATACGAAATAATAACAGATTCATCTCAATTTTGAAATTTAAAATCCAAAATGATTGATCAAAATCCAAGCTAGGACAATATTTCTTATGTTTTAGTTCGTTCAATTGTTTCTTATTCATTATTAATCGAATTCATTCTCATTATTTATCAATGTTGAGTTTTCGAATATAATTTTTCAGTAAATTATATCATCTTCTGCTTATTTCTACATAATCCTTGAATGATACTTTACTAGATAGCTAATCTTATGCAATGTATATGTTATTTCTATAACAACTAAACGACTTTCAACATTTGACTATTACTCTATTTTGATGACAAAAATTCGATTGTTGAAATGTTTTCGTCGTCAATTAAGCTCAACACAATAGTATCATTTAGAGTAGACCTTTCAAAAGCCTATCGAATAATATATAATTCAAAGTGGATCGCTACTTTTACAGCTCAATGGAAGGAAAATTTTGTCATAGCTATTCTGATAATGTATATACGAATGAATAGTGTCATCTAAACAACAATATATTGTTATACTCCTATATCTCATTTTATATAGGAAAGAAAGAACTTTCATTTTATATACAAATCAAAATGAAAGAGTTGAATACGAGATGAAAAATTTGTGTCTACAAAAATTGATCGATATGAATCCTAGTCGACAAATTTATATTAATACAAAAAAAAGCTTATTTTCTAAAAAGCATCAACACTCACGAACAAGCTAAACCGGTACCAAGAAAGAAGATTTAAGACGTTGTGAATAGACTGAAAATCATCACAAAGAAGTACATATTTCTCTGATATATGCAAGATATGAATTAGAAATTCTTTTTAAAATTAAAATTGTCACATTTACAGATTTCCAACAAAGTATATAAGAATTAATTCTGATCGAAAAGTTGACTTAAGATAAAAGAATTTTAATTTTAGCATACGTCTACATTATTTGATAATGGGGTCAAAGCTAACATTCCGTTTACAAAAGTTCATTATTAAGCACTGAAATTTGCTTGAAATAGCTGATTAAGTAATATCGTTTTAGTTCTAGACTGCTACCTTGGCATACTACCTTTAACTTTTCAAGGCCTACCTGAGAGTACTCTTTGTGACTTTTCAAGGACTACCTAGAGGTACCATTTGTAACTTTTCAATAGCTACCTGGAGGGGGAGGGGAGGGAAAGACCCTTTGTAACTTTTCAAGGGCTACCTGAAGGTATTATTTGTAACTTTTCAACTGCTATATTGACATTGTAGAAGTATTTTGTTTTTGAGAACCACTCCAATATGATGCATAATATTTTATAATGGATTAATGTTTCTGGAATAACGTGTTCACTGATCTGGATCGTGAAAAATTTTGGACATGTTATTTAGAACATTTTATTAGTGTTTTAATGTAAAATATGCATGCTTTCTCAACTATGCAGGAAAGTATATGAGTGTATAGGATGGAAGTATTACAAAATTACAGTAGATTTTATTCAGTTTTGCATCTTGATTAAGAATATTATATTATTTTTTGATTGAATGAAGTCGTATATAAACAAATGCTAAGTATTCGAAGGATGTCAAAATCTGGAAAAAAAGCCTTGGAGAAAAGGAACCAACAATTCATCGCATATTATATAGGGATTCTATGAACTCATGAACTTTAATGAAACCGATGGTTTTGACGTCCTCTGAATACTTTGCATTTATCTCTATGTCACTTCATCCAATAAAAGCATAATGTAATATTCTTAATCAAGATGCAAAACTGAAACTAGCGATGTCTAATTGCAATAAAAATAAAATCTACTGTAATTTTGTAATACTTCCATCCTATACACTCATATACTTTCCTGCATAGTTGAGAAAGCATGCATATTTTACATTAAAACACTAATAAAATGTTCTAAATAACATGTCCGAAATTTTTCATGATTCAGATCAGTGAACACGTTACTCCAGAAACATTAATCCATTATAAAATATTATGCATCATATTGGAATGGTTCTCAAAACAAAAAAAACTTCTATAATGTCAATATGGCAGCTGAAAAGTTATAGAGAGTACCCCCTTAGCAGCCCTTGAAAAATTAAAGGGAGTGTGCCAAGATAGCAGCCCAGAATTTACATACAATATATGTATTAGAATTAAAAATAATACTAAATGAATGTTAACATGACATCTCTATTTTGCACCAAGTTGAAAACCTGCTTGAAAAAACAGACTTCCTTTTTTGCAATACTATAAAGTTCTTGGTCATTATTCATACCGATCAGTTTTCGTTATCCCGGAAATTTTCGTGAAAACATTTCATAGTATGAACCGATAAAGGATATATAATATCGAATTTTGTGTCGGTCACGTACGGTCAAAATGAGGTCTAGCTGTCTAATTCGAACGATGATTGATTTCTGACATTCAAATTAGCTATTGGAGAAATAATAAACTCAATTTTAAAAAGGTCTCAATTCCATCACTTCGTGACCTCTTCCCCTCCTGTTCCTTTATATTGAAATGATCTGTAGTTCAGAATAAAGATCTGAAAAATGATAAGTATCAAATAATCGCGAGAAAGAATAGGATAAAAAAAATAGATACCATTCTATTATCAATTTCAGATGGCTAGGATTAGATACAATCACTTTCCTTTTCTACATAGCATGTATATGTAGCTAATCATAAACTAACATGATGATGCATGATAAAGAAAAGTATTTAAGAAGAGTAAAACACCATTTGTACATATATTTTACTTTAGATGAAAACAAGTGAAGTAAGTCAAAAAAGAAACGTTTGGACTTATTTTCATTCAAAGAAGAAAAAAAAATTGGAAAGCTTTGCAGCAGATTGTAAAACAACAATAAGAGATTTTTACTATAATTGTTTGTTCTCGTTCCTCTCCTTAGACAATTTATGATCGGTTTCTTCAAATCATTAATGGCAACGACTCGTAAAACGGTATGACAGATTACGGTGAAGTTCATGTCTTCTCGTATATATTTGGTGTTTCTTAAACAAACGTTCATTCAATATAGATGATGCAACTGTCACTCTGTACAAATATATTACATACAGAATTAATTATAATGGGTATGCTATCTCTTTTTTTTTGGTTGGAATCATCATTCTTTTTATTGTTATCTAATAAAACTAAATACAAACATAAACGAGTTACAACAGTAACATCTGTCTATTACTCTCTTTCTCTTCTATTTGACAACGCTATTCATCAGATCATCTAACAACTCTTTGAATGTCTTGGAGATATTTCAAAAAGTATTTAGATTATTTCAATTAATCAAATTCTATCTGATTAGTAAACCTAAAATATATCTAAGTTTTGATTATTCAACTTGATCGAAATTTCTTTATAATAAACATAATATAAATGACTTACAATTACCGCCAAGATTAATTTGAAAAAAAAAAACCTTAGTAACTTCACTCTATCTTTTGTTGCATTTTTTGTTAAACATACATATATATATATGAACAATAGTATAATGCATCAAGTTTCAACAGAACAACAACAAACTACGGCTACTATGTTAGATGAATATTGTCGATATTATTCAGATTTTAGTACAAAAAATAATTTTGTTTTTCTAATTTAAAAAAAAGATTCGATTTACTTATATATTCTAGGCAAAATATTGTATATCTATATAAGAAATTTTCATCCTCAACTTCATTTTGAATTTGAACAACTTCTCGATGCATCATATAATGTATGGCATCGTTTAACTGATGATGAAAAAATTTCATTATCAACTTTTCTTGAAGAAATAAATCAAGAAAATAATCATGTAAGTATTAATTCGAAATAACAAACAAAAATCATATAATCAAATTATCTTGATATATGTGAAATAGTTTTTACAATCAATTTGATTCATTTTTACTATAGAAAATTCGATGAAATTCACTTTAAATTTTGAGAGATTTCTCTCATGGAAAGACAATGAATAGTTTTTATTTCATATTATAGCTCTCAATAGATCTCTATAATATAGTGGCAATAGTAAAGTTGATAAGCACGTCAAAAATCTACAGTGATAATCGATGTATTTTAACACTGTTAAGTTCTCTGACGAGAGAAGTCCTGCAACTGATAAGTCTGTTTTCAGTCAAGATTAGAATTGGAGTGATACTAAAGAGAAGACTCACACGCCAATCTACAGCCAGTATCATTGAAGCAACAATCATGTTGTTATCATATATAAGAGATGTATAAGACACGGTTTTATTATCACTGTATCTCAGGATAGGAGTAACGAAAAGATCTGAAACTTTGACAACAAATTATTTTCGTTAAGGTCTGTCTCTGTACAAAAGGTTCAAGTTGAAATTCGAAAAAAAATATTTTAAAAATGCAATATCCCCACAGCAATAATTTAAGATCCTGAACTGTTTTCGAAATATTCATAGTTTATATTCGGGTTCTACATAATGTACGTGGTCTCGATTTAAAAGCGATTTGTTAGAGAACTTAACAGTCTTAATACATCTTCCATTATTTATTTTTTTTTTAATTTAAGTACATGATAGGCAATGAATATAAAAAAAGAGACATAGGTCGAATAAGCAAGGTCGTGATTGTTTTCGAATGAATAACCTCGTACAGTAAATAATTGTATATTCATTTGTCCGACACTTAATAATTGTACAGAAAAAAAAGGTTAAATACTGTCCTACTATCTTTCATGTTAAAATGTTATGTTATGGTTTTTTTTTACAACGACACAATTGGCATGTAACGATTATATATAATTACTACAGAAAAGGTACAATTATCATCCATGATGAAAAAAAATAAAAGACGATAATTCATGCACTTCGAAAACATATTAAAAATACAAATAAAGTGCATTGAATGAGGAAAGTGCAATAAAGTTTGATCAAGTACGATGATATACAAGTAAACTTATGTTGTCTCTTTAGAACGTACTTTCCTATTGAATAGAATCGTAAGAATGAATTTTTTCTTTATCGCATAGAGGCTTATTAGGAGTCATTAAGCATCCTATGATTAGTGATATTCTCTTATACGTTATATCAACATAAATCAAATCCTCTTGACTGTCTACTTTCAATATTGATATGTATCAGTAAAATAATTTTATGCTGTTTTTATTTAAATTAAACATACATAGTTTATCATTATCTAATAGACTATATTATCATCATCGAAAATAAAAACATTCAATAATTTGATAAATTGTAATTCATTAACAACAAAATTAAAATATTCAATAAATCATTCAAATCAAAAGAATGAAAAATTAAATTCTAAAACAATAGCATTAAATACTAGTTCATGTAAAACATTTAATTCAAAAAATAAGAAATTATTAATTAAAAAATCAATTTCAATTACACCATTTCATATTTATTTAAAAGATGAACGTCAAAAATTAATTAAAAAACATAGAAATATGTCAATAAATGATATAAATAAACGTTTATCTGAACGTTGGAAAAAAATGTCTAATCGAATGAAACAAAACTATGAATATCGATCATATCTTGCTAAAAAACGTTTATATAAAAAACAAGGTAAATTAATTCGATTAAAAAAACCTTCTTTTATTAAACGAATATCGTCAAAAACAAGACAAATAAGGAATAAAAAACAACAATTATCGAACATATTTCGATCAAATATTTCAATTCGAGCAAAATGAATTGTCTTTTTTTCTTTCTTTAATTAATAAATTAATTTATCAATTGCTAAAAAAAGGATGTTGTAATAATTGTTCTGCAGTTGGACGAAGAATTGGATTTATTTGTAAGCATTGTTGTAATACTTCACGTAAATGATTATTAGTTGTAAATGGAATAATTGGATTTTGTGTTAGTCGTGCTATATAAGACATTTTATCATAATTATCTTGAACATGTTCAAATGGTCGATAACCAAAGACCATTTCAAATAAAAGAACACCTATGAAAAGAAAATAAAAACAAAAAACAAATTTTTTTTTGTAAAAAAAAAACCAATAAAAATGACAAACCAAGTGCCCAAATATCTGATGCTCGACCTTGACGAGAATATTGACCATTTTGTATTTGACATACTTCAGGTGGCATATATTCTGGTGTACCTTTGAATATTTTAGTAGAATTTTAATAAAAAGAAAGATTATTTAAATAATTCCACCTGCAAATGGTCTCAATACAGATTGTTGTGTATGTGATAAACGAAATGAAAGACCTAAATCAATAATACGAAGTTGACCACCATGTGTCATTATAAAATTTTCTGGTTTAATATCTAAAATAATAGTTTTGTTTATTTATTTATTTATTTATTTATGATTTAAAAATTGAATTACAATTTACCTGAATGAACAATTCCATATCGATGAAGTAAAGCAACAGCTTCGACCATTTGATACCAATAAAATTTTACTTGTGCATTTGTCATTTTTTTTTTATTAGGTGGTGCTTGTAGTGGTAACATAAAACGAAAATCATGTCCAGTTTCCATAACAATTTTACCTATTTGAGATTTTTTATCATATTCATGATTATAAACTCTTATAACATATGGATTATGTGGTTGTAATTTAGTTAAATAACGTATTTCTTTAAAAAATATTCTTGAATGTTCATGACTATCATTTGAATCAAGATTTTGTACTACTTTTATGGCTACAGATTGACCTGTTCGAGGATCATATGCAGCATAAACACGACTATGAAGTCCTTCACCAAGTAAACGAATAACGGTATATGGAATAGAATTGACATAAATTGTTGTTGATTGTATTTTTAAATTTGTTAATGGAGGAGGTGAAGATGTAGGTACTATTGGATAATTATAACTTGGTGAAGCCGGTAAAGCTAAAATAAAATTTATTGTTTAGTTTTGTTCTTTTTTTGTTTTTGGTTTGAATATAAAATATCTTACTAGCATCACATGATGGCTTGCAATTGGCCGGAAATGGATGAAAAGCATAAGCGATTTTAATCATTTGATTATAGGTTCTTCTCTGTTATATGATGTCATACGACAAGTAAAACATGCCTATGTATAATAAAATATATATATATTTTTGCTGTTCTCGTTTTTTTTATTTCTATGGATTCTTTTTCTTTCTCTTGTGAACCTTCAAATAAAAAGATTGTCGTTTTTTTTTCTTCCTCTCTTTTGTTAACACTCTCCTATAATATGTTAATTAATCGAGCATGAACTATTATATTCTGAACAAGATCAAGGTCATGGCTCTTTTCTTTACTTATCAAAAAATGCCGTCGCATGTCTCTTACCTTTAACAATCTGAATGAGAATCTACAGATCGAATGATATACTGATTACCCATTGAGCTGCTTGTCGCCGTTATTCATTCAAAATATAGTTATCAAGTATCCGCTTATGCGAATATATCATATACTTGTTGCATGCTTGATTGATGTTAGTGTCGTGTATGCAACTGAGCAACTGCTGATGTACCGTTCGTTTTTCTTTTTCTTTTTCGTTTTCTTTTTCTACTGCATTCAATTTACGTAAGACGAAAGACATAGTATGTTGCGCGAATGAGAGCGAGTAGATATACACGCTTTGTAATGCTCAGAACAGATGCATTCAAACAAGTCGATGTCATAGTATTAATAATAGTGTTCAACAAAAAAACCTATATGTATATATATAACCGAAATGATTCATATTCATCGTATAACAACCTCCTGTGAAGTAATCGTTCTCTTTAATTCATCATGCATTTTATTTATCAGAATAGGGCAAAAAAAAAATACATAAAAATATGTTGTTCAGAATCTATATATGGATGATTTTTTTTTGTATTGAGACCAAACGCGTTATAGATACGTACATGTCAGTTAATCTTTCAACTATGATATATATATATTTCAGGTACATATCGTGTATCTTTCAAACAATTACTTTTACCATGATTATTTAAATTACGTTGGTATTAAATAGATTGTTTATATTGATCACATTGTTCATGTGCAAGAATACCTTGTGGAGCTTTTCAATACATTTTTTTTTCATCTTGATCGCATTTACGTTTCTCATTGGTGGCTTCTATCTCTAAATTGCTTCAAGGTTTTTATGTATTGTTAACTGACAACGATGTCATTCATGATTTTCTGATAAAAGACTAGCAAAAAAAAAATTTTTTTTTTTGTTTTTATTATTCAATTGAAAAATAAAAACATACTCTTCTTTTATAATATTTAATAGTTTTTATTCATATTTTTGATCGAACATTTATTTAAGTAATTGTCATCGTTGTTCAATAAAATTTTTTTATTGACATACAATTTCTATTGCATGTAGAAAACGTTCTTGTCATTGTTCAGGTGACATGTCATGCAGACCAATGAAAAAGTGTTTCGATTTTACAAATCATTAATTCAGTAGGTTTATTTCGAATCTAATTCTTTTTTATAGAAAAGAAAAGATCCTATTGGATAAGATGACCATTCTGCTTTGACAAGCCAGCTATATCATGTTGTAGAGCAACTCGTGGTGCATCAAGCAACATATATGAATTTGTATTTTCATCAAATTTTAACGTTTTGCAAAGCCATACCCAAATTCTTAGTACACTTACTAGCTTCTGTAACCATTGTATGATGTTTTACACTCTTTGACACTACTCTTGAGAGCGAAAGTGATCAACTATACCATTTTCTTAGGGATTGTGTGCCATCATGTTCTATAATGGCAAACCAATTTTTCGCTTTCAGACCTTGGAGTGTGGGTACTGGTGTTCTGTTGATACACGCCAACAGCCATACCCTTTTCTTTGCACTAAAAAAAATTCCATTACTAATATTTGTCTAGCTTTATTATGCATGATTTCCTTTGGCAGCTGATTTCATATAAGTTGTTGATCGTGGATAAAATTAGTTCAATCTTATATAGGTCAACAAAAATTTTCTTTAATATTCTGGTACAAACTGGTATGTTCTAATTCAAATTTGGAGCTAATTTTGAGTTTGATTCGAGTTTAGTGCAGAAATGTCATAATATCCATAACTCGAGTATCGAGATTCACAACATAAATATTAGGATATCTACTTAATGTATTAACGATATCCATATGCCACTAAATTAAGGGAGCCCCCTCAGAAAAAGCCAATTTTGTGATTTATAGCTAGTTAGATAGAGCAAAGTTTCTACTTCCGAATGCACTAATATAGAATAATAACGTTCTTCCTGAAAAATTTTAGTTTTTACGTTTCCGTGCATCCCAGATTTCTCCGTCATTTTAAACGCTAGCAAGCTCACCTCGGTGTCAAAATGAAGACAAAAATTAGTTTTACAGTTAAACAGAGTTGAATTTTTCGATCTCTCCATTAATATTTATAAAAAAAAAACGTGATCGTTCTGGACCTACCTCCTACCTCCTTTAGGTTTTTCGTATTTCATTCGAGGAGTTTTCTAGGAACGCCAGCTAGGAGGAAATCGAAAAAACGGATCCTGTTAAGTTGTAGAGCTAATTTTTGCCTTCATCTTGACACCAACCCGAACTTTCTAGCATTTGAAATGACAGCGAAATTTGGGGGTGTGGGTGTGGATACCGTCGAAGAGACAACTGATGCCTATACACCTACATCCATTCTTCTTAATGAATATTACTAGACTAAAATCTTACCTGTAACTTTTCGTAAAATTTGTCCATCGAACAATATCAAAAGTAATTCTATCTAAAAGAATCAAGTTTATTAGAGTCAAACAAAAAACGATTCTTTAACAAGTCTTTATATATACTAACATGTTTTTAGAAAGTCAAGTGATGAATAAGAAAGTTTGTTACCTACAGAGAAAGTTGGATATTATCATTGACAACTATATGACGTTGACTAGCCTGCTATTATCTACTGCGTGTTTTGTCAATAAATAATACAAGATAACTATTTCTCTCTCATAGTCCACGAAATTCAGAGTTGTTTGTTGGTGTAATATGAATCCATCGACAAGGATAATTTTAAAAAAATTTCCAGTTCATGTCTCCTTTAAACGAATGGGTGTGTATAGCGGATTGTTCCTAACAACCTCACATTCTCCCCACCTATCCCCCTATTGAAAAACGTATTCGGATGCTTTAAATTTCAAGGAAGATTCTGAAATATTTAAGAACCTTCTAACTCTTTTAATTATTTTCGTTCAGTGCCTTTGATTTCGATTGCTAAGTTCTGTAATAGTGATGAAGGAGAAGTTCCAAAACTTCATTCTGTACGAGTTCTCTGTATATTTATCATAGTCAATCAATATGAACTTCTTTTAAATGATGAAACATTAACAATAGGCCTGTGTAGATGCATTTTGATTAGAATATGTTACTAAAACATTGTCACAGTTTATTCTGTTCTTTTTCTTGACATTTGTTGTATTTTGGCTGCGATCACTAAACAACGATTGATTATTGACACCAATAAAAAAAATATATATATTTGTATTCATTTAAAATAAAAACAAGAAGAGAATCAAAATAATATTTAATCTTTGTAGTTGAATCTTTAATCAATCCTGTGCCAATATATACGTCACGGCTCACTGCTCTTCCTCTCTCTATTGTTCTCTCTGTGTTGTCTCTCTTTTTGTTTCTCTATCATATATAAGCTTGTGTTGAATGTGCAATAGACACATTCTGGAGATGTGAAGTAGCTAACAAACATCATTGCCGAGTAGCGGCTAGCTATTCCTCCAGTCTGTCATAATATCTCTCTCTCTCTCATATTTATCGTTACATCTATCTGTGAACAAGTAAATAATCAAGTACAAAAGTTTGATACTGATCGAAATTGATAATTTTTGAAAATGAACATTGTTTTTAATATTTTTCATAATAATCTTAAATAATTAACCGGATTATAAAAAACAAATTGAATAAAATTCATTCTTGTTAATTTTATATCAAAGATTCTTTTTTTTTATTTGAATATTTCAACATTATTTAAATATTTTCTGTTCAGTATTATAGTATTGAAAATTTTCGCAATTTATCTTTTAAAATAGACAAATGTGAAAGATGATTTAAACTAGGATTTATTGAACGATTCAAAATTCTCGATATATAGTTAAAAATGATGTAAAAGACATGAAATTCATCATGATAAAATATTAAAATAATCAATAAAAGAAAAATTTCTCATATCGAAATGATGAAATTTATCCGAAATAGAGAAAAACTAGATTTTTTTATTCTCGATTCTTATTTTTTATGTGAAAAACAATAATAAAGAAATACCATATCGAATTTTCTTCAAGAAAATGACAACAAAAAACAAAACAATATTCGATCATTCAATCTAATTTCAATTCACATATTGATTTGATCAACGATTTGTTTTATTTGACTATCAATAAAATGTTTGTGAGGTTTTCAACAGACCAATATTTTGTAAATCAATGTCTGAAAATACCTCTTAAGATAATTTTGATTGACATGAATCTATTTTATTTTCATAGAAAATTCATATGGGCGTATGTGAATGTGGCTATGAGAAGAAGATAAATACAAGCACACCCACACCCTTATGGTGTTCAAAACATCCCGATAGTTTTCATAGTCTTCGGAAATGAAGTTCAATCATTATGAAACACTCATAATTTCATCATCCTTTTGTGTTCTATTGACAATATTTTTTTTATCTTGCATCTTTCTTTTCTACACATGTCAGTCGTAATTTCATCATCGCAAATGGCTATTATGTAAGATTGATGTATTTGAGACGCATTTTTTATATACATTTCTAATCATAATTCTTTCATCGAATTCGAATAACATCAGGTAATTTTCATCAATGGGTAAAGAGAAAACTGGTGTTGACATTATTATTATTGGTGATGCTTACTCGGGCAAGTCAACCTTGCTTGAACAATTGATTTACAAATGCGGTGGTGTTGACAAGCGAACCATTGAGAAATGCGAAAAATTATCTGCCACTACAGTTAGTTGTTCTATGTCTATCTAATTTTATGCAATATTTCGTTGTCTGATAGAGAGATCGACCTCCATTCAAGCATGCTTCAGAATTATTAAAATATTATATCTCACAATCAAATATTATCACCATCGATATGGTGTTGAATAGGTTCGCGAGTGCAAAGTACAACGTCACTACCATTGACACTCCGGATTATCGTGATGTTCTCAATATGATCAAGAATATAGTTCGAGTAAGTCGGAGCCTTTACTGATTTCTTGCTTGTTTTTAAACTCGTAGTATGTTTGAACAAAAATTTTCTTACAGCGAAATGATACGTTTGTAGATTTCTACCATTGACTATTGAAAGAAGATATTGACTGTATCTTTTATCTGTTTGTTAGGCCGATTGTGTGGTGTTAATGGTATCTGCATGTATTGATGAGTTTGAGAATTCCATCTCTGAGAACGGTCAAACACGTCAACAAATTTTATTTGCCTACATGTTAGGTGCCAAGCAAATGATTATTGCTGTGAATAAGATGGATGCTGACACTGTGTCCTACTCCGAAAATCGTTTCAATCAAATCCAAATTGAACTATCTACCTATTTAAAACAAATTGGTTATCCATTCGAGAACGTCGTATTTGTTCCCATCTCTGCTTGGAATGGAGATAATTTGGTCACAGTATCGAACAAAATGGCCTGGTTCACTGGCTGGATCATAGAACGTCAAGAAGGCAAAGTTATCTGCAAAACTTTCCTGGAAGCTATTGATACAATTGTTGTTCAGCGTCAACAATTTATCGATAAGCCACTCCGTTTGCCATTACAGAATGTCTATAAAGTACGTGGCATTGGAACAGTCGCTATGGGTCGAGTCGAGACCGGTGTATTGAAAACAAATATGATTGTTAGCTTTCCTCCATTGAATCTGACGGCTACTGTTCGATCGATCGAAATGTGCTACGAAACTCTCACAGGTGATTAAACGTTCATTCGATCAACCAATAACATGGTTATTTTTAGAGGCTTTTCCAGATACTATTGTTGCCTTTAATATCAAAAATATTAATGCAAAAGAATTACGACATGGTCTCGTCTGTTCAGACATACAGAATGATCCGGCTCGAGAGACGACAACCTTCATTGCTCAGGTAAAATTAGACAAATACCAGTGACAAACGGTACCAATGGTAAATTAGAAAGTCATAGATCCACTATAGATACTTTATCATGACGTTTTCTTCATCCAATTTATATTGAGAATAAGCTTAAATTTGAACGAAAAAATATACTGTTTCGCATGCAGATAGAACGTTGTTCCTATTGAAGTGAATTGAAAATTTATTTAAGTTGTAACGAAAACATGTAGAGCGTTTCTTTTTAGAAAAAAAAAGTAATTCCCTTTTATTTATTTTCACAGCACGTCTCGCTTTTTTTCTTAGATTTTTATGCTCAATCATTCGAGTCAAATTGAACAAGGTGATCATCTTATAGTCGACTGTCATACGGCACGTTTTGCTTGTCTACTTATTGAATTAATTGATAAAATCGATCATCAAATAAGTGAAACAATTCAAGTGTATCCACAATCAATCAAATCAGGCGATCTTGCTACAGTGAAAATGATTCCGTTGGAACCTGTCTGCGTTGAAAAATTTGACGATTATCCATCATTAGGCTATTTCATTGTGCGTGACAAGAATAAAATAATGGCCATTGGCATCATCAAGGATGTTGAAAAGGTATGATGATGACAACAGTTTGAGAACAATGATTCGCCTATCTCTATGTTAATCATTGCTCTGATACAGTTTTTGTCATCAAAATAAATCATATGTTTTCATATTGATACAATTGACCAACTGACAAACTTAGAAGAAGCAGAAAAGTATCGAAGAATGTGAGGGTCTTCTTTTTATTCTCAGCCTGTGACGAGGATCATCTATTCCTACAATTCCTCATTCTCGATTGTTTAGTTTATTCCCTTCAATCGTGTAAGATGATATCAATGTAAATATATCATTACAAAGCTGTTTCAATTCGAAGTGATTACTGAAATATCGATTAAATTTTATTCATATAAAAAATGCGATATTGTTGAAGCTGTTTATAGATAAAATTGATAAGATGTACATTGTCATCTGATATAGTGCCGAATCAGAAAGGAAAATGAGACAAGTGAAATTTTGCCTTTCTATCAACATGATGACAAAGCTTGCAAAGGTCGTTCTCATCATGTAATATGATCACTAGAGCGTGAGTGTGTTGCTTCTCTTCAAGTACAGTCAAACTCATACCCACATCCACACCCTCAATAAATCAGGTCTTTCATTATCTTTACTACTAAAGGCCACGAAGATACCTATCGAGTAGAATATCGAAATAGGATGAAAATTTGATCGATCAAGTTGAAACTTGCAAGAAGGATTACTAATTTTGTCCTCTATAATTGCTGAAAGTTTTACATCAAACGAACTTTGTTTTTTAAATGTGCCAAAATCATCCGAAGTCCTGTTCACTCCATATCGTAGAGAAAATAGTACTATTTTGTGATAACGCTTGTCAGGTCAAACTTCAAGATCTCAAACTTTTGATTGCATGATCAAGCAGCACTAACGTAGTAGTCTTTGAGAAAAAAAAAGCCTATTGCGAAGATAGGCGACTTTGGGATCAAACATATCAGAAGAGCAGGACTATAGTAAAAAATTCAATAAATACTTTTTCACAACATAGTCATGATTGGACTTGATAGTCGTATAGTCCATCTTAAAATGTATGTCTGGTAAAAATTTCAGAACTCTATCACGTACTGGTGAGAAGGTATCGTGAAAACATCTTAAATGAAAAATTGACAAAAAAAACTATTAAATTGAAATAAAGCTGTTTTTGATACTTTTAGAGGAATTATCATATCTCAGCTAAAACTCATTCTTTAGGTCTAAAAATTTGGTCATATACCTAAAACAATTTACTATACAGGATGAGAGAATTTTCATCTAAATCTAAAATTTTCGATTGAGCGGGTTCGCTCGTGGCTCTCGTGCAGTGACTCTTAGAGTGTAGATAGTGGAATTACTTCAAGTACATTAATTTGTTCAATTATGCAATCTAAAAGAAAAGCAGACAAAAATTAAAAACACTTATTAAATTTAGAACATTTATTTGTTTCAAAATCAATTGATTTGAAAGAATACTTGAAATCTGCTTTACTAGTGTTCGAAAAAGTTGTAGGACAAAATAAAAATACAAATAATATTGATCAAACAACTGCAGATGTACATTTAGTCGAAGATGAAGATACAGACGGTTGAACAAGACTATTAATTGTAGAAAAATGAGCTTATTCAACCTTTTCATATAGCTGATTCATTTCTCTCTTTATTTGAAAGATACCTTAGACTGATTCTTATATACGTGATAATGAAAATGATCATGATGTTGTGATCGATCATTAACAAAAGTAATTCTTGTTGATAGGAAAAAAAACTTCTTGAATATAAACCATATCATCATGCTGACCTTTATTTTTATAAATGAAAATCATTGCATTCAACAAAAAATAAGTATGTTTACTTTTTAATTTATATAAATAATAATTTTTCTTATATTGCTTTAAACTATTAGATAATTTATATTGATTCATTCAATAATCTTTGACTTACAACATATCCATCGAATAATAATAATAATCTAACAAAACTACCATACCGTGTTTATGTACAATATCGAATTATTAATACATAAAAACTAGTATATGTTTATATTTTCTCATTTCAGTCATGTGTGTGTGTATATTTTTTGAATTCTACTTCTAATCATTGTATGTCTGATAGGCACATTTTTTGATTGTTTTCTTGTTGTACTATTGTAATATTTAGTTGTATGTGATAAATTCTATTGAACTATAATACACATAACAAGAACAAACATTTTTGAATTCTATAAATATTTTATTATATATCATATTAGAAATAATGTAAAAAAATCATGTTTTTATTCATATCTTTTCACACAAATCAAATACATTCATTATTAGTAAAAATCTGTTAGCATTATATCTATAGGATATCACATCCACACGTGGTATTATTTCGTTGCTCATTCTTACTATCTACTTCAGGCTTGCCAAACCTCCTGATTTGACCAGGAGACTCCTGATTTTTGGACTTTTCTCCTGATAGAAAATCTCCTGATTTCAGGAGCTGATTTCCAACAATTTCTCCTGATTTTTAGTTTTTTTCCTACTTGGTTGTTAGCGATAGTTTGAACCAATAAGGGAGTTAAAAGGAAAAAAGAGAACTATCGCGGTAATTAATAGTTATAGTAACGAATAAGAAAATACTTGCTTTTATTTCATTTTTCTCTAAGAAAAATCATCAATTACATAACCTAATTGTATACAAAATATTTGTTTTACTGGAGATAGCAGAAAAGTACATGTTACTGTCTGGAAAACAAAATCTTGAAAATCAAAAAAGAGACCGATAGACAAAACTTTAAATGACCAGCCAAGATGTCTCTCATCTGGAAAGAATTTTGCATTTCGTGGGAATCACGTCGGATCCATTTTAGCTCAGAATAGGACAATATCTTGAATAACATAGCAAGATTCTTGTATTTCATTTTCATTATTAGTATGGAGTTGCTATAGGCTCATTTGCATTGCTATTTTGTCGTCAAAGTTTGATAGAAATTACAAACATGAAAAGAATGAATAGATGTATAATACAATAAAAAAAAGTGAAGGCACCAATAAAAAAGAAGCAGAAGTAATAGTCATTTCGGTAAAATGTCCATTTAATAGATCACAAAAGGCTTAAGAGAAAAATAACTTTCTTTATTAAAAGTTAACTTGTTTTTATAGCATATTAACGGTATAAAAAGCTCATTGCAAAAATGAGCGAAGAAGCACATGTGCGCAATTCATATAGTGATGTAAGAAACAAAGAATAATCGTCTTTTTTCCAACTCTGGTAAGAGTCTATCGTTCTATTAATTCATATACAAGGTATCCCAAAATTATAGGGACCCTTTTATTTTTGGAATTTTTCAACAAAAACGGATAGCTAAGTCAAATTCAAATGGTGATTTGGATAGTCCTTGAAATCCTCTATCGAATACAATATGGACCAAAATTTTCAAAGAAGCTTTGTGCAGAAAGTCTTTTAGAAAACCGTTTCCTAGAAATTTTGAGTTCTGGAGGAGTTTAACAAAAAATAGTTTAAATAGAGTCTTTTGCAAGAGCATAAAATTCTGAACAAAATGAGGAGTCGCCCAGCTCTCTACGATGTTTTGCTGCCAAGTTGTAAGAATTAGAAGAACTCAACAAATTGCATAATTTATCAAAGGACCGCTAAAAAATCGGCTAAAAACATATTTTGTTGGTTTTTCTTATGCGTATAACTTTGCGACGAAGCATCATGGATAGCTTGGCGACCCCTCATTTTGCCAAGAACTTTTTTCTCTTTCGGATGACTATATTTAAAAATATTTTTCTCACAGTCCTCTAGGACCTGAAATTTCAGTGGAACGGTTTTCTTGGAAACTCTCTTCGCAAAGTTTCCTTGAAAATTTTGGCCCATACTGTATTCGATAGAGAATTTCAAGTGCTATCTAAATCACTACTTGAATTTGACCTAGCTATCCGCCTTTGTTAAAAAATTCAAAAATAAAAGGAAACCTATCATTTTGGGATACTCTATAAATACTTTTACTTAAATTTCACAATGGAAAAGAATTTTGACTGATAGATCAGAATAAAAAAGAATCTGGAAAGAATGGAGATAAGAATATTAACTGGTCAAGTGTATATAATAGATATAACTAAAAAAAAATGTTTTCGTGATTCTTTTCTTCTATATAGCAAAAAACATTACTTGTCATAGAACACAAGTGACAATAATATCATTTGTATTAAATTATTGATCATCAAGTAGATAGGAAAGAGATAAAAGTGCTTATGTGAGCGAAAATTCCAATTTTCTACGAAAAAATCACCTAATCTTCTCTTAACTTCAAATAGAAAACCTCCTGATTTTTCTCCTGATTTATAAAAGAAATTCTCCTGTTAAACTCCTGTTTTTTTAATAAAAAACTCCTGATTTCCAAAATTTCGATTTGGCAAGCCTGATCTACTTATAATGACGATGTTGGTAAAAACCTTGACAACAATGCAAATAACATTGATCCATTTTATTATATAAGTTTATCTTTGTTTATTCTTCTTCTTCCTCGACTTGCTGAGATAGCGATGCAAACTTCAAAAGATAACAAAACATAATGACTTGAGCAAAACAACCAATTCAGCAAAAAAAAGAGAATGATCTCTATCGAAAAACTAAAGAAATTTCTGTTGTATCTTCAGAAAAAAATATGTTTTAAACATTTTTATATTAATTAAAAAAGGAATTTGCTTTCTTTCTTGCTTTCACACTGTATTATGATTAAAATAAATACTTTACTAGAAAAAATGTCACAATAGAAACAAGTAGCTTCGTTTTTTCTTTTTCATTTTGGTTTGTCTTTTGGTAAGAGGCCTATTTTATTGATTCAAGATATCTTGCACATAGAAACATAGACAAAGATAAAAGAATTTTCTAATGAGACCAGATAAAAGCAAACGAAAAATAAAAAACAATGAAAACAAACAATATACAAGGTGGTACAAACGCCACTTTACCCAAAAAAAATTGAATATCTCCTTTAGAGCTCAAGCAAATGAGCTGACTTTTTTATCAATGATAGAGGCATGTACAAGCTTTATATCCATAAAGGCATGCCTAGAGAGACTCTTTGTTAGGTATCGCTATTGACCTCAATAAGAAAAATTTTATTTTTTCACTGATAGAAAAAAAAAACAGTATACTTAACAGAAGGTCTCTCTAGGCATGTCTTTATGGATATGAAACTTGAACACACCTCTATTGTTGGTAAAAAAGTCAGCTCGTGTGCTCGAGCCGTGATGGAAGTATTCAATTTTTATTTTGGTAAACTGACTTTTGGACCATCCTGTATATGGCCCAAAAGTCACGATACCACAAAAAAAATTAAATATCTCCGCTACCGCTCGAGCAAACGGACTAATTTTTTTGCCAATAATAGAAGCATGTTCACGCTTTAAGCTCATACGGATAATATTGGAGAGAGCCTTTATAAAGTACCACTAATGATCTCAACAAGAAAAATTTTACCTTTTCACAGATAGGATAGTAAACAATATACTTAACAGAGGATCTCTCTAGGCATGTCTTTATGAATATAAAGCTTGAACACACCTCTATCATTGATAAAAGAATCAGCCCGTTAGCTGAAGCCGTAGTGGAGATACTCAATTTTTTTCGACACAGCAACTTTTTTTTCTAACTGTGAAAAAGTAATTTTTTTTGTTGTGGTCAATAGTGATACTTAACAAAGAGTCTCTCTAGGCATGCCTTTATGGGTATAGAGCGTGAACATGTCTCTATCATTGATAAAAAAATCAGCTCTTTTGCTTGGACTATAAAGAAGATTTTCAATTTTTTTTGGGTAAAGTGACTTTTGCGCCACCCTGTATGAAGCAATTCATTTTGAGATTGTATTCATAATCTTTCGTTTTTTTCTCTTCTACGAATGACGATCGAGCAATAGTGTAATTATTCATTTTTTTTGGACGGATTCTTCGTTTTCATGCCAGATGAACAGAGATTTCATTCGTCACATGTTTTGTCATTATCATTTCGTCAGTAACAAAACTCTTGAAATAAAAAACAAAAACGAACGAACAAAAGATTGAGATAAGAAATCCTTCAAGTCTTCTATAGTAATAACAACAATAAACCAAAAAATAGAAAGTATCAACACGAAAGAAGAAAAAACCAAAATAAAAACTATCTACAAGGAGAAAGAGACGAATTCTGTTTTTGTTTATTCTTTCTTTCTTTCTTTTCATCACCATCCAACAAGTATTTAGATTTTTATTTATTCATTCATTTACGAAAAACAGAACACCATTATTATTATCAACATCATCCAAATGGACAAAAAGCAATATTCAAAATCAACTGCTAGTGGATCTTCTTCATCGTCCACAACAATTAAACCAAAGAAATCATCATCATCGTCAACAGCAACATCAGTATCAACATCAACAATGGGCACAAGTGCTGTGCTTCCGCAACCTACTCGTCGAATTGTTCAAAATTTTCTTCTCGTCTGGCTCGATGCCAATATTGACGAGTCAAAGGAAGATTTTCAAAACACATTAAAACATTTACGACGAATTGTAGCATCCATTACAACATTCACCGATACTCAACAATGCTTTGATTTTCTTAGTGGCATTACAAAGGAAAAGGCATTTATGATCGTAGCGGGTTCACTTGGACAGAAAATAGTATCAGAAATGGAAGCCATACCACAATTAGAATCTGTGTATGTTTTTTGTAGTAATCAATCGTACCATGAACAATGGGCCAATAGGATACCGAAGATCATAGGCGTATACACAAAAATCGAATCAATTTGTAAAGCCCTAGAAATTGATCGACAACGATGCGATCAAGCTATGATCTCGGTTAGCTTTAATGGTCTCGATCCTCTATTCATGTATACACAATTGTTAAAGGAAGCACTTTTAGAAATCGAAGATGACGATAGAAAATCTCTCAAAGACCTGACTGAATATTGTCGTGAACAGGATGATATCCTTGAAGATCAAATTAAACAAGTTGAAAATGAATATCGTAATCATACGCCAATATGGTGGTATACAGCTGAAACATTTATTTATCCGATGCTTAATCGTGGACTTCGACTTATGGATATTAATATTATACTCAAAATGGGCTTTTTTATTCGTCATCTACATCAACACATTCAAAATTTATATCATAAACAACAATCTGAGAACATGAACATAGCTACTCCGTTAAAATTTTATCGTGGTCAAGGTTTAGCATTAGAAGACTTTGAAAAAATGAAAAAAAGCATAAATCAATTAATGTCTTTCAATAATTTTCTATCAACAAGTCTCAATCAGAATATTTCCTTTCAAAAATTTGCACGACCAGCAGCATTTAATGATCCCAATAAAGTTGGCATACTCTTCATTATGACTATTGATCCTGATATTTGTACAAAATCAAAAATTCCATTTGCTGATGTTAGTCAAGTTGGCTTTTTCGAAGGCCAAGAAGCTGAAATTCTTTTTACAACACATACAATATTTCGAATCGATAAAATTCAACGAATTCAGGACGATCATACTGATCGTCTATGAAAAGTTCATCTTACCCTTGTGGGTAATGACAACCACGAGCTAAATACACTTACAGCACACGTACGCGAAGAGATCAACTTGAAAGCACCAATACGAGGATGGTCTCAACTAGCTTTCATACTTCTTAAAGTGGGTGAACGTGCAAAAGCTGAAAAACTCTACAAAATACTTCTCCAAAAAGCATCTTCTGATAAAGAGAGATCAGATTACAATCATAAACTTGGTTGGGCATATAATGATATGGGCGAGTATTCGAAAGCACTTTCATCGCACGAACGATCACTGGAAATCCGAAAAATAGCTCTCCCTCCGAATCATCCCGACTTGGCTACTTCTTACAACAGCATCGGTGAAGTGTATTCTAACATGGGCGAGTACTCGAAAGCACTTCCATTGCATGAAAGAGCACTTGAAATCCGAAAAATAGCTCTCACTCCGAATCATCCCGACTTGGCTCAATCTTACAATAACATCGCTTCGGCATATAATAGTACGGGCGAGTACTCGAAAGCGCTTTCATCGCACGAACGATCACTTGAAATAAAAAAAATAGCTCTCCCTCCGAATCATCCTTCCTTGGCTACTTCCTACAACAACATCGGTTCGGTATATTGTAGTATGGGCGAGTACTCGAAAGCACTTACATACTACGAAAAAGATCTGGAGATCAATCTGAAAGCTCTCCCTCCGAATCATCCCGACTTGGCTACTTCCTACAACAACATCGGTTCGGCGTATGATAGCATGGGCAAGTACTCGAAAGCACTTTCATATTATGAAAAAGCGCATGAAATCGATCGAACAACTCTGCCACCAAATCATCCACATATTGCACACTCGAAAAGAAACATTGAAAATGTAAAAAAGAAAATGCAATTGTTTTTTTTAAACCAGAAAATAAATTGGCCTTCTTGAACACGTTTGGCTCGCCGAAGCGCACCAGTTGCAAATAAACATTCTTCACGATTTTTTATTAATTCTACTTTAAATTGTAATTTATACAGGTCTTCTATTTTTTTTTCAGAAAAAAGTGTCTTATCGTAGATAGATTATATGTAATGGAAAGCTGAAAGCAAAAATAGACAATCAAGGTTTATAATAAACGACATTCGATTGAAATTTTCTTACAGAATAAATTGCCATTGTTGAAAAAATAATTTAGTCATCTATAATGTTCTCTTGTTGATATGAGGGCAAATTTAGTCGATTTTGTTATGTTCATTATTTCAGATCGATTAATGTTTCGGATTGTGGGAATATGTTTAATGTTACACTTATGCAATAATTTATCATTTTCATTGCAGTTGTTTACTTAATTTGAGTTCATTAAGATATGATAACAAAAAGTTCTTGTGGCAAACTGCAATTTAAAATAGAAAGATGGTAATCATAAAAATTTTTCATACAAGAGAGGATTCAATTAGTGTGAAGTTATTGATCATATCAGTTCTGTTTCCACTTTATTCAAAAATAAAATGTAATCATAATAATAACTGAAAATGACATATAACGAGACATATACAGAAGAGGCAGGCACCCGAAAATATACAACGAAAATGTAAAGAATATGTGACATTTATTAAAGAAAAAGTACCTACATATATAACAATCAATTTTTGAAATAGCACAATTGAAAAATTGACTATCCTATTGTTTGGAATCTGAAAAAGTACGTCTATCAGTGAATAGAAGTCTTACATCACTAAGTTGAACTTTGGGACAAATATATGTCTTGTTAGAATCAATTGAATTTGTTAATGTATTCGCAAATAATAAGGCAATACATCAGCATTTGATTTCCAAGATTTAGGATTTCAGGCCAACAACTTCGGGTTCGTAGCCTGGCTGGCCATGTCGACAGTTCTGTATTAAACACACTGTTGACTGATAAAATTTTTGATGAGATTAAAATGTGTAGTTTCTTGAGCCAAATTCAAGTATGTATTGTTTGTTGTAAACCTGTGACTTTTCTCCTATAAGAATGCTGTAATTTTTCTTACTTGTTTTCATGTCGTCAATATTTTATCGCTTGCATAATTCAGCGAAAATAAAATTTTGATCTCGAATATTCTGATTTTTATATGCCATTTCGATGGCCACTCACTCAAACATGAGGAAACGGTTTGACGAGATACATTGTCTTCGCCACTTGGATCAGTATACAAACAATCATTGCTGTAGCAACATTTTACTCCCATTATTATTTACTGCATTTGTAAAATGACGGTTAAACTGAATCGGTTTATCTAATGTGATTGTTACAGTTTAGATGAGAATTCGATCTAGTAACATGATAAACTAGAAATGAATGGCAACTAAAGTAAGCTCTCACTCTATTCTCATTCTCTAGAAATAATAAAAAGCATTTACAAATTGCTATAATATTTATGTCGGTTAAACCTGCTGGTTTCTGCTTGAAACATATGCCTAAAATTTTACTTGTGTACTAATGCATTCAAGCAAACATTCTCGAAAATCAAGAAGGCGTACTATTTTATTTTCTATCTCCTTGAACAGCAACTGTTATCGCAAAAAGTATGCCTCCTCATAATTAGGTCCATGTATGGTATAAGGTTAGAAAGTTTTCAGATGCAATCTATACGGAATTGAAGTTTGAAAGACGATCAGTTGTACAATAGAAAACGGCAATCTTCCAAACACCTTTGTGTCATAGTCAGTGAGAGCACGAGAAAGAGAGTAATTGTTTTAGGTACTTCAACAATAATTCGTAATTGTCTTTCTACAAAACAATTTGCTATTGAAAATGTCCGATATCGTCAAAGTAAAAGTCAATGAACATATTTTTTCTTCAATATCTACTCTATGCATTGCCATTTTTTGGCTACAGTAGTTTATCGCAAAGTATAAGATATATGTCGTCGCGTGTGATCTTATTGAGTTTTCATAAAACTTTGTTGTTTATGCAAACGACGATTGCTAATGACTGTTGCAGTATCCTACTGAGAGAGCTAAATCATTTCTCTCCTGTATCGCACCGGCTACGATAGAAATTTTAATATATGTCAGGGTTTATGAAGTACTTTTGATTTCATTACAGGTCGTAAAAATACGCATTATCACACATTCCCTCTTTTTGCTTCGTGATAAGAACAGATGCGTTCTTTATCTCTTGCATTCATTTTGATGTCATCCTTTCTACCTTTGAAAGAGAACGACAATGATGAAAGAAATTAATAATTATCCAGACAATGATCATCATACAGTATTACAACATCAGAAACAACAAGACACTGTATCAAGTGAACAAGTGATGTGGATTTCCAAGTTTTTATTGGAGTGTTCGGAAGCAGCACTGGATGTACATCAGTCTTTTCAGAAGAGTCATTCTAATCAGCAACAACAACTCTGTCAACCCTAGACTCGCACCAAACTCAAACTGTTTCGATTCAGAGAGAAGGCGGGGTGAGTTCGAGCCGCCATGATCGCGATTTCGACTTCACTGACAATGAAGTCTCATCAGATGGCAAGTGAGGAGTCAGGACTGGGTGCGTGAGAGTGAAGAGATAATTCTTATTCACTCTCATCCTCACCCTTATCTACCTACTCTCTAAACATTATTCTTGAATCATAATAGCCACGAGCAGTAATGAACAATGTTAACATTTATTCAAAAAAAAAAGATAATTTGAAAAAAAATGGAAAAACTTTATTTCCTTTCTCTTCCCGACTTCTAAAAAGTATCGAGCACTTTGAAACCTTATGCAAAATTCGAAGTTGACGTATCACCTCTTATCTAAGTCGCAGCATATTTGCGCATGCTATATAGAGGTAGTGTGATAGCGATAGTGTCGAGTATTTTTATTGACTTTTGCTATTCTAATATTTCTTTTTGCCTCGTAAAAAACCTAAGAGAAGCTTCTGTCAACAGTCACTCGCAGTTTTGTAAGCTCGACTCGCACTAACTCAAAGATAACCTCAAAATATGGTCAAGATATACCCGAAATACGAATGCTTTTTTCGAACATTTTGAGCTTATGCAGTGCCGAACTCACTCAAGTTCAGCCAACGGTTCAACAACATTCGATACTATCAATTCCAACAGTATCGGTATCGCAACGTGCGTACCCCATACAAGACTGCATACGATTATGATTAGGGGTGAGACATTTTATTTAATGAGACTTAATTAAAGTCATTTGTGAAGTGACTCGACTTAACACTTAATATTAAGTAACTTCAGATTTAATACTACGTGTTAAGTGGCAACTTTAAACTTAATTTTAAATTAAGATAAATGTTCTACCCCTAGTTATGATTGCTATTTTAAAATTAAGTAGCAACACATGTTGACATTAACTGGGGGAGTCTGTTTCGCATCATATTCTAATTGGAGATATTGTGCGCATGATCAATACTTTCAGATGTATCTCGGTTGGATCGATTATGCAATTTTAGGTGTGCTTTTGAGTAAGTCTAAATATAGATTTTTCTCGGCATAGACAACTGTTTGTCCAACATTTATAGGTTTCTCGGCTGGCATAGGTATCTATCAAGGTTGTGTTCGTTCGAAACAATTGTCAGCGAGCGAATTTCTCGTTGCCGACGGCCAAATGACGGTAACATAATTTTAAGAAAAATATACATGCATACCCAGGTCAATGATTCCAATCTCCAGAAATAATCGGATTTCACTGGAACCGGCAGAAAAGATGCAGATAAAGTCACCGTATCCGACAGGAAAACACTAGAAATTGCTGGAATGCGGAAGCAATATTCGGCCGGAAAGAACAGAAAGTTGACCGCAATCCATTGAAAAAAATCCGAAAAATTTCTCGACGGAATACTGCTTCCACGTTCCAGCAATTTCCGGTGTTTTCCTGCCGAAACCGAGTCGTACTCCTTGAACTGGGTAGACGAAATTCTTACTATTTTCTCTTATAGGTGTTGCCAACAGCAATAAGCTTGCTGGCAGGTGCCAGGTCTGCAGTCAGTTTACTTGGAGTACCTGTAGAGTTCTATCTATATGGAACCATGGGATTGTATGGCAGTATGTAGCAAAATATTTGTCCACATGTGAAAACATGTGTCACTCTAGAATGTTATTTAAAATCTGTCTCACTCTACGGTATTGTTCTTTTTTTAAGTATTTGCTTCACTTATGGCAACCTATATAACGACAAAAGTGTTTATACCTAAACTTCGTCAGACTGGAGATGTCAGTATTTATTCTGTACGTATATAGACTGGTAGCAGAACCACTCATGGAGATGGAAGCTGAACTCTCCTATCGGAGGATACAGCTCCTCTCACTAGCGAACTCCTGGTTCTACCATAAATCTAGACATAATTTCCAAAATTCTCAAACAACTTTTTCTCAATAATAGTATCTTGAGCGACGCTTCTCACTCTCAGTTCGTATTATGGTGACATGTACTTTTATTCTTGGCACAGTGAGTAGAATAAAAGTAATTTCGCACTTGAAAATCAGTACATTGTGTGTCAAGATTCTATATATGGGTGTTATTCTCTATGGACCGAGCTTGGCATTGAGTCAAATGACTGGGTTAAACATTTGGCTTGCAGTTGGTTCATGTGGATTGGTTTGTACAATTTATACAAGTATTGTAAGTACACGTCACGAACTTTGCAACGAATGAATCTTGAATCTTTTTGAACAATTCAACGTTTCGTCTTCAAATAAACGGTAGGGTGGAATTAAAGCTGTGATTTGGACTGATGTTGTACAAGCTGTCATGATGTATCTTGGCCTTATTGTGTCGATTGTTTTTGGTATGTATCAATTATTTCGTTATTTGAAATAGCAATTTTCATCTTTCATAATCGTATAGGCATCATCGATGTCGGCGGAATCGCAAAAGCGGTTGAAACAGTGTCTAGCGGAAATCGATTTCAATTCCGGGTGTACGTATATGAACGAATATAATAGAATGGAAGATTGGAAAAGACAACGATTGTCGAAAATATTCTCCTCTCCTCAGGATCTTTCTCGACGTTGCCGAAAAATATGTCAATGGACTATCCATCCTATAGTCTATGCCTGATGAAAATTTTAGCTTGAATGGTCGAAGTCTTGCTGATTAACGATGTAAATATTGTTTCAAATAAGCATGAAACCATATAATTATATTATCACTTTTGTTTGCATACCATCTCTTGCATTTTTTTTGACCGGTATTTAGTAGATGTCGATAGGAAAAAGTAGGATTTTAGTCAAAAGCAATAATATATTTAGAATCAGCAGGAAATACTGAGTCGACTTATATGAGTTTCAAAGTTTTTCGTAGTACTTTACTCTTCTGAAAAAAATCATCAGAGGTGGTCCTAGTGTCCACCTAAAAAATGAGTTTCAGCAACACACCATTGTTATTGTTTAGTTGTCTGTTCTTGTGTCTTCGAATAATGTTTTACGAGCTCTGAAGTTGTTCTTCGTTATTCAAGAGGTTTTCTAATTAAATTCATTTTATAGCTGGACACTGGCAGGACCCTGATGAAGTTTTTCAGAAGAGTAAAATACTATGAAAAACTTTGAAACACACATAAGTTGACTCAGTATTTCGTGTTGATTCGAAATATATTATTACTTTCAACTGAAATCCTACTTTTTTCTATCAACATCTACTAAATACCGATCAAAAAATGCAAAAAATGATATGTAAACAAAAGTCAGATTATCTTTTTTTTTAACAAAGGCCACTTCTACAACAAATTGAAAAGTATATGACTTTGTAGTCATTTCTTCGAGCTTTCCGAATCAATGAAAAACCCATTTTGCTTTTTTTCTTATCTCAAGATATATGAAAAAACAGTAAACAAAAGGATAATATAATTATATGGTTTTCATGCTTATTTGAAACAATATTTACATCGTTAATCAGCAAGACTTTAACCATTCAAGCTAAATTTTCACCAGAGATAGTCTATAAGATAAGTAGTCAATTGACATTTCTTTTGGTTTCGAAATCTCTTTCTATCGAAAATATCAACATTTTGAGCAAAAATAGGTCTTGATCCTTCAGAAATAGGTTTATTTTCTTTATCAAAGAGTTCCTTGTGAAATTCTGCATTAGATAAGTTCTGAATAGAGAGCAACTGAAAATAGTCCCAAAATGGCTGTTATCTGCTCCTGTCCTTTAGCTATTTCCAATCTCCTTTGTCTTTCAGTGATACTCTAGATCCATCTGTTCGTTACACTTTCTGGAGTGTGCTGATTGGTTTCACAGTTTTTGACATAGGCATATATGGATGCACACAGACTCAAGCACAAAGATACATGTGTGTCAAAGATACAAAGACAGCAAAAAGGTATTTTGTGATCAAATTTACAAATTGTCAATTTTGTTCACATAGAGTTGTTTGGATTAATTATGCAATGAATGTAGTGCTGCAAATTCTATTAGCATGCGTTGGTTGTGTTATCTATGCAAAGTATAGCCAATGCGATCCAATTAAAGCTAAACTGATTTCGAGATCAGATCAAGTAGGATAATCAATGCATAGAAGTTTGAATAGAATATGTCTTTTTTTTTCTTGACACAGTTGTATCCTTTGTTTGTTATACAAACATTGGGACGATTTCCTGGTTTCACTGGTATTTTCATAGCTAGTATTTTGAGTGCATCGTTAAGTACAATTTCGAGTGGAGTCAATAGTATAGCAACAGTCATTGTCGAAGATATCTATAAACGAATATCAATCGCACGCCCAATGTCAAACGAACGCCAAGCGACGGTATCTAAGGTCTTGTGTAAGTGTCATTCTCTGTCTTGTCACAGTTGTGTTACCTATGAATTGTAGCGATCGGATTGGGTCTTTTCACCATATTTCTCGCATTCATCGTGTCTTATATGAAAACCAACATCATTACAGTTAGTTTCGTTCTATAGTTCTTGTATTTGTCCAACTGCTTTCTTTTATTTTTTTTGTCCAGATAGTTTTACAAATCTTCGGTGCCTTTACAGCTCCCATCCTTGGTGTCTATTTACTTGGATTCTTTACAGCACGTGTTCAAAGTCGAGTGAATATATCAATTGCATTTATTCAATAGACCTTATATATGATTTGGTTTGTTCATTCCGTAGAGTGCTCTTGTTGCTTTTACTCTCTGCCTGACATTTCAAATTTGGATTGCTGTTGGAAGTACTGTCACTGTAAAACCGCCTAATAAGCAAGGTGGATTATTGCCCACTTCAGTTGTTGGATGTATGCAATCAGTGAACACCAGTTTTCCGATGTCAAAAAATCGGAAGTAATGCTATTTGGAACAAGTGAATAGAGACGAACTCATATTTTCTTTCAATTATTAGCTACAATCCATTGATACCACTCTACTCCATAGCACCTACGTGGTTTGTTTTTAATGGTGCCATTATCACTCTACTCCTTGGACTAATCTTTAGCTTCGTTTGTGGTAAAATAAAAAGATTTTCAGGAGAGAGAAATGATTGGCTTAAAAATTAATTCATTTTTTTTTCGATATAGATTCAAAATATCCAAAAATAGTAGATAAATCATTGGTAATAACTCGAGATGACATATTCTCGTGTTGTTCATCAAGAAAAGTGAGTATCACTATATTATCGAGTTATTAATTCATTACGTTTATTACTTGGTTTTCTTATAGGAAGTTATGAAACTAACAATAGCACAGAAATATAATGGAATTTCAACGGATAATACAATGATCGAAAAGGAATCCATGCTTAAGACTTGATCCATGTATTCGTTTCGTAAAAACAAATTTGAAATTAAAGAATAATTGAATTTGATATCCTCAATGGCAATGTCTGTAACACATACATATGGATCAGTGATACTAATTGATACGTGATCAATACGAGATGGATGTTGATAGAGCCAAAGGAAAGAAAACATCCCATTCAGATAGTGATGGGAAGCGGTATCACTTACCAAGGAGGGTTCCCAAGTGATCCAGCACTTTTAAGTCGAGACTATATGCATCATGTATGTCATAGCGAGCTATGAAAATTGTCAAAAGAGTTCAAACTGGTAGCTTGTTGCTGTTTAGATATTGCATCTTTACGATGTTCGTTAGCTCGATGCTGTGGTCTTCTCGCGAGCACTAGAAAAACTTGTTTTCGAATTTCACCTTGAAATTTTTCACAGAGACAGATCTTAATGAGAGTGATTTATCGTGAAAGTTTCAGCTTATCCAAGTGCTTCTAATCTGAAATAAGAACATGAAAATTTGCCTATGTAAATGGTGTCAAAAATACATTCTATTACCATAGCCGCATCTTAGAATAGCAACAACAAAAAGATCTGAAACTTTTACGATAGACCATTCCCATAAAGATCTATCTCTGTGCAAAATTTCAAGGTGAAATTCGAAAATAAGTTTTTCTGGTGCTCGCGAGGAGACTACGGCATCGAGCTAACAAACATCGTAAAAATGCAATATCTAAACAGGAACAAGCTATCAGTTTGAACTCTTTTCACAATTTTCATAGCTCGCTATGACATACATGGTGCAAATAGTCTCGGCTTAAAAGCGACGGATCAGATGGAGGCATGAAATTTTCATTGAAGCTAAAGTTCATAGAGAGATACCTCCACCAAAATTTTAGCGTTGTATACCCTTTCTTCCGATTAGTAGGATGCTCATCAAAAACTGGTTTTTGATGAACATCATGGTTTTCAGACAAGTCTTTCAATCTAGCAATGAAGTAGCTTGAGAACTGAGTCAGAAAAGTTGGCCAACCCATCTAAAATGTACAACTTCATGATGATATCAGTCTGGATCGTGTAGAAATGACCTGCAACAGATGTCATCTTTACCAGTCCCAAGTTAGATGGGTACTTTTTCAACATGATTCCATCACTCGCGTTATGACACATTGTCTATTATCAAGTCCTCCCCTTTTTTTTACGGAGAGCAGGATAGTTATAGTTTGCTACTTGTATCTCTAAGTCCAAGTTATTGAAAAACAAAAGAAAATACAAATATTTACTTTAATACCTTACGTACGAACGTTTAACATAATAATGATGATAAAAAAGACAGTCCATCTAAGCCATGAGTGAGTATGTTCAATCGAAGGCCAAAGATTTTGTTTAATTTAAGATAAATGATAGAGGCAAGCGCTTTATAAAGTTTGTCCGAAAGGTTTGAAAATACAGGACCCAGAAATAGAGGATTTGTGGAACTAATATTTGAAGAGGGACTTGACAGATTGAAGGGAAACTTTTTTCGAATACGCATAACTATGAGTTACACCAAAAGTCAATTTGTCAGTTGAATCGATTAAGTCTTTCATATTTCTATGGTTTTTGCTTCAAGAGGAAAAATCACGATTTTGAGCAACTTTGAAGCTTCATAGCTCGAGACTTACAACTGATAGAGGTCCAAAAATTCTTAGAATAGGCATAACTGACGAATTTTAATTTTTAGTTAAAACTTGAGCTCTATTGAATATTGCATTTGCGCTGGAGGACTTCATCAAAGTACGATTTTCGACGAACTTATCTATGAGCTAATCCGATTGTTTAAGAATAGCTATTGATATGTTAAAAGTTCGATCTTTGATCTAGAGCGTGACATGGCAATCAGCTTGACATACCGAAGGGCGACCCAGAAAAGGGAGCGTATTTGAGTATCAAAATAAAGTGATTAATCAGGTCGGCACTCCTACACTTCAAATTTAAGTCTTTGACTAAATATCGTCTTGATTATTTCATCTGAGTAACTGTGGATAGAGAACACTAGAGTTATCATCTTGTTTCACTATCTCAATGTGAGTCTCTCAAGAACTCAGTACAGCCTACAAAGGGCCTGAAAGCAGGTGCGGATGTGAGTGTAAATGAAGAGAAGAGCCACACGCACACCCCATCCTTCTATGGCTATTTGACTATTTCATAGGTATTTAAATATTTCATAGCTATTTAACTCTTTCAAAGTTATTTAAAATTTCCATAACTATCTGATTCTTGTGTAGCTATTTAGACATCTCATGACTATTCAAAGCTTCCATAGCTATTTAAATACTTGTCAACTATTTAAATTCTCAGAACTATCTGTATCTTAATTATTATTCAAACGCCGTAGCTTTTCCAATACTCATCAAGTATCTAAATCTTCATAGCCGTTTGATTACGTGTTCGCTGTTCATTGAAGATCAGATATTTGTAAATAGCGTCATATATAGCTGTTTAATACAAAATACTTTTCAATCTTTTACTGCACTAAAAAATAAATATTTTTTTGTTTTTAAAATTAACCCTTTCGCGTCGATGGGCCCAACCGATGGGTCTCACTATAGGGTGGTCCAAAAACTCGTTCATTGTAGAAAGAATTAAATATCTGTGCTATCCTTTGACCAAAGGAGCTGATTTTTTTACTCTTGATAGAGGAATGTTCATAGCTCATATTGATAAGAGAAACATCGATAAAAGTTGTTTTGAAGTACAATATTTGCTACAAATAAAGAAATGAAACCTTTCACGAAATTATGAGCAAGCAATATTCATATCGCCGCGAATGGGTTAAGCTCAGGCACTTATTTAACGGTGCTCATTGTTTTCGAGCAAGGATGTGAAGGGGGAGAGAAACGACGAAATATCTCGATGGAAATGTCTTCGTGGTAGTTAATCATTTATGAGCGATACTATTTTGAGGCATTTAGCACTTGTTAATAAGGTATTATAGTTGCTTATTTATGTTGAGTATTTTGAGAAGCAGCTACTGCATGTAATACATAATGTAAAGGTGATCATTGTTATGTAAAATATAGTGAAAGCTATCAGGACAAGAGGTCATGCTTCATTATGAGTATATTTTCTAGATTAAGTGTTTCCAAATTTAGACTACAACATTTTTTTAAATTGTTTTGTTATGTTGTTAGATATATCGTACATATATTGTTCGAGTTAAGAAAACTGTATGTTTAAACACAAATTTATGATATCAGCGTTATGAATTTGAATTCATCTAATGAAAAAAAAACCGAGGCAGTCGTCGAAATTTGATTGTTTAATTTTTTATGAGCAATCGAAAGCTTATCATCTAAAATTATTAAAACAAAATTTTTAGTTCATTTGGATGTTCTATAAAAAAGTTAGCCTATACTGATTTTTCAAAACTGCATATACTTACTATTAAGTAAATAGTCAGCAATCGTTCCATAAATATTCCACTAAGATTATACTTCAATAAATCAGAGAATACCTTTATGTAAGATAATTACAAATGCTTCAACATTTTTTTTCTTGAATACACTAACCATAGCATTACACATATTACTACGGTTTTCACTTAGACGGATAAAAGTGACAATTCTGCTAGGATATTTATTTATATTAAAACCATCAATGACTTCATAGAGTCAGAAAGAGTTTTGTCTATCCACTGTTCGTGTATATAACTTACACAATGTATAATTAAATTATAATATGCTGCGATTGTGCGCCCTACTTAATGATGCTAACAGTAATGCAAATATAAATAGGAACATAGATGTTTTAAAAAATATTTGCCATTAATGACTAAATTCAAGATAGAATAATCAAGTTCAAAGGATTCTTTCTGGGAATACATAGAAGGTTGTATACTGACTTCTATTCGACAGAATTGATTCCACTTTATGCAATTTTTCTATTAATTTCAAAATGAATTCGAGTATATCTTCCACGACAAATGGGTCACTTTTGAATATCTTTCAATAAGTCTCCCAAACCGATCCTAGGAGATCCCACGCTAATTCTTACATAAGTTTATAGTGCTCAGTGTGTACATTACAATTACACCAACATGACTTCTATTGATTAGGTATTTCATGACATCGGTCCCTGCTAAAATCGCGATTCCGATCAAACTCGTGACTTTATGGAAGGTCTACTGAGCGATATAAACCATTGAAAGAGCTGAATTTTTTCCACAGTAAGTACTCAATGAAAGTTCTCTATAGCCAAAATATCGGCTTCTAACATGCGTTGTTCGTGGAATGCGCATATTCACATAATACCGAAAAATGATCATTTTGCAGTGCACTTCATAGTACTGATTAATTCATCCATAGTTCACTCATTCAAACTCATTTGTTAAGATAATTACATAAACTTGAGATGTATGCACTTTAAGTATTTTAAGTCAAACAGATGCATTTTTGCTGGGATACATCTATGATAAAAGACCACAAAATACACCGTTTTTGGCAGTAACGTGCTCAAAAATGTTTAAATACTTTGGAAATGGAACAATATTTTTTTTCAAAATATTTACATCGAAATTCGTAAAACTCCCCTTTCTACAACAAATTTCAAAATCAGATAAGTGTAACAATTTCAGTCGTTATTTATGGGGATTGACTCATCGAGCAGCATAACTGAATTTCTGATTGTTGTATTCAGTATATTTCACACCATCACTTTTTATCAAAGAGAAAAGACGGATTCGAGAATCTTTTGTATCATCATCGTATCCTCCCTATTTTCATGATAGTCCCATATCCGGGATACGATGAGGATCTAGAAGATTCATTTTTTCTCTCCTTGACTTGACCTCTCACAAAATCAATTAAACGAAGTTCCATCGACAAAAAGATAATATAAACAGAATATTGTAGAGTGAATAATCATTTCTCACTTTTCTTGTGAAGATTGCGTCGAATAGAATACAAGAGAAACAAAAAATCAATGCTTATATTCTTTCTTTTTATTTCTATCAATATAACGACATGACATAAATTTTGATTAAAT